TGTCTGCAAGGATAGTTCATATCTTCGTTTGCCAGTGGTTGACTTTTGAGTAGCGGCAGTGTCAGTTTTAGTACAGATGACTGTTTAGTCAAAAATATCTTATTAACTTTAGATTAATCTTGTCCATTATTCATGACTCCTTTTATTAAAATGTGCAGTTGTGGCCCAGAAGCAGCGCTTCTACCTGGCTGCCCTGCAGCACGGAGCTGAGGGGAGAGCTGTCGAGCAGTGTTCGCACCCAGGTTGATTCCTTTAAATTATGCGGCAATTATTTAAGAAGAGGAGATAAAAAATTGATCCAAAGTGCTGGCAGGGCAATGAAACGGGCTATGGGATCACAAAAGAAATGTGTACAATGCATAATTCATGCAGCTCTACTGTTATAATAAAACCACGAAGGAGAACAAGTGCCAAAAACTCCAGGTGTGACACTGAGGTTGCAGACAAACAGGTATGGGTGGAAAGGAGCATTGGGGTTGGGTAGGGCCGGGTGTGTGGTAAGTAATGCCAGGAGTTCATCTTTCCCTGACAGTCCTTTGTCTTCTCTTTCACACCACGTGCTCATGCAAACAGCTGTAGTGCATTAAGCCTCCTGGTCAGCTCCTTGTGTTATTCAGGTGGGCTAAGGAGTTTGATTAAGCAACCAAATCCCAGTGACATTTGAAGTTAGGAATGTCCCCTACAAGCAGTCAGCAAAACTTAGTAAGGTGAGAATACCAAGTGAATTCACAAGACGTTTGTCAGGTGATCAGTTGCACTTTATCATTGCCTAAATTTACTGTCACTATCAAAACAATCTGTTAGTACCACTTGAGAGAAATTTAAACACCAAGAAATGGAAGCAATTGGAGCAAAAGCAGAAGAAAAGCTGTAAATTGTCCTCCAAAAACCATTCTGTTATGAGGTTTATTTGCTGTCACCATCAGCAGTTCCCACTCCAGCCCTGTGCAGAGCACAACCCCAGAGCACAGATCCCATATGGTTAACTGCCATGCTTGGCTTATGGGGTGAGACCAAGAAGAGTGCAAACCTAACTCAATGTGTTCGCCACACCTGAAGCTCGGTTGTCCTTAAGGATAGCATAGCAGGATGATCCTCACCTTTCATTACAAAACATCTCAAAATAATGCACTAATATGCTGTATTTCTGCCGTTCTATCTGGGGTTGCTTGGGACTGTTATGCGGGGAAGGGATTCTTCATGTTCTTAATTTCACATCTGTTTCTTGCAGCGTGGAACAAAGCATAATTTTTACGCTTTCCGGGAATTGCTGCTGAGCTTTTGTTTCACATTGAATAATAGTTCCCGCCTGTCTGACTTGAGAGTGACATAGTAGGTGATAATATATAAATTACAGGAGCTGTTAATGACAGGATTAATCTCTGCAACTTTCAGTAAAGCCTATAAAAACTAACAGTGTATTGTACCACACTGTTCTTATTAAAAATGATCAATTATTCCTTTTTTTTTTTTTTTTCCCCAAATATTAATTTCAAAATTTCATTCTCCCATTCAGCTTTATGGTAACTGTAATCTTGATATTTTAATAGCTGATCCCACAATAGCTACGGAGGTCTTTTTACAGCCAGTATTTCCCCACTCGACCATGTCCCTCAGTACAACATCTGAACGTTTCTTGAGCACCTCCATGGATGGTGACCCCACCACTCCCTGGGCCTACTAATGGAACAGTCTTCTCCAAATTAAAAAGCAGAAGTTTGTAATAAGTTCCTGAAATATATAGAGTATAATGTGTAATTAGAACAATGAATTGCTTGTTACCATCTGTTCTTTGTGCTGAAAGAGTGCTTGTCTGTAACTTGGTAAACGTTTCCATCACCCACAGCCACCAGGAGCTATCTCAGGCTGTATTTTAAGTGTCTGTTTACACAGATCTTACAAATTGCCTATGGGATGTGAACTGTCTATCACTTCCAGAGCAATTAGTATCTGAAACCTTATCAAAAGAAATCCGTCAAGTTTGAAAAGCCATAAATATTGCACTAGGATCTCTAAGGAAATCAAAGTGAGTTTGATACAGTATTTATTTACATGTTGCCACACAAGCAAATGCACTTACAGAGACTCCAGTCTGCCTTGTCTCCTGTGCTTTATACTCCATCAGTCCCGTGTTATTTTAGCAAGACAATTATCCAGTTGTTTCAGCTATCCTCTAGCAATAATGGACTGCTCCAAGTATGTCAGGCTGAGTAATTCAGGCGGCTGCATCTTTGTGCAGTGGTTTATTTTAATGAAAGGAAGGAAGAATTGTGACATAAGATCTTTATTACATCCAGCGTTTGGATTAGGAGTTCCTTAGTTTTATGTAGCGAAACCGATGTTACCTGAAGCCTTTTGGAGAGGTTCTGAGGGTTCACACTCCTTAGAAATAGGTCCCCTTTAGTGCCTTTGGTTGTTGGAAGAATCCATGTTCTTTTCCATTGTGGTGCCCTGACCTCCTTACTCCTGCACTACTTCACATCTGCTTTCTTCTCTCCTGTGTCCTCCCTACCAGGGTTTCCAGGCTCTCACGTTTCTCAGATGGCACGTATACACAAGACTTGTAACTGAGGTCTTGAGTTTTAACTGCAGTTAACCACAGTCTTGAGTCTAAACTCTGGTGAGGTGGAGGTCAGCCTGTTCTCCCATGTGGCTTACAGTAGGGCTAGAGGGAATGGCCTCAAGATGTGCCGGGGGAAGTTCTGGTTGGATATTATGAGAAGTTTCTTCTCCAAAAGAGCAGTGCTGGAATGGGCTGCCCAGGGGGTGATGGAGTCACAGCCCCTGGAGGTGTTCAAGAAGCATTAAATGTGGTACTGAGGGATGTGGTTTAGTGGGGTAATATTGGTCGTAGGTGGATGGTTGGCCTGGATGACTGTAGAGGTCTTCTGGAGCCTTGGTGGTTCTGTGATTCTAGAACAGAGCCTAGGAAAAGCTACTACAGCTTTCTTAAGAATGGAATGACAGTCTTGAGAATGAAAGCAGATGGGCTCTTCATTGCTCTCACCAACAAAGAGGCAAGAACTACTTTAGCTGAAGGTGTCTTTAGCCCAGTAGCACGTGGATATAGCCTAGTAATAAAAATATTTAATTTGGAAATTAGTGGGTTCTAAGCAATTAAAGAAAAAACAACTTCCACTGGAAAAGCAGGAGCCAAAAACCTTGGTGCTTCTGGGTTGTTTATGATGGGAGCATGGAACATCCCGAGGAAGGGCAGGGTAGGACAGGGATTGCTGATCCAGGAAAACCCTCCCAGTTTTGTGTTTTTATGAAGAACGTGTGATTGATTCACCATTTCTCAGTCAACAAAGTTACAAAGTTTGGGGGGCTTCAGTGGATGCCTGTGATGTGGAGGTTTGTTCAACTCTAAATGCCTCTGTGTGCTCCACAGCAGGGTTGTTTATTTGCCATTACTGGGTGCTTCTGAGCTAACAAGATAATTCTTCACCAAAAGTAAATTAAAAAAAAAAAAAAAATGAAGAATAAAAGAAAAAAGATAATAAACTACGTGCAGAAAATAATAAGCCAACTGAGAAGTGCTACCTTGTTTGTTCTGAGTATCCTCTTGGCATCAGCATGACGTTACTTACAATTAGATGCACATGTGTAAATACGATGATTAGATATTCCTACATAAACATAATTATCATAACTTCCTAAAAGTCTAAGTAGGCACTTTATAATCCTGTTGTTAAAAATAAATAAATAAAAGCCCACAAACTGCATTCAGCCCCTTGTGTGTGTAAACAGTGGAACGTGAGGGCAGAATATATTTTTCCAAAATACCTAATGGTAGTGGAGGTCAATTACAGTTATGACTCATTAGAGTATTAAACTAAGAATGTGCTTTTTAGTGTAATTACTGTTGCCTTAGAAAACTACAACAATCTTGCACTCGCTTGAGTTCTTCAAGCATTTCTAGTGGGTTTGCATATTAGTCTTAGGCAAATATAATAGGGTTATATTGTATTAACCTCACTTACAAAATGCAACCACTTGCAGCATGTCTCTCTGTTAGTTCTTATGGCCAAATAACTTCTAAGGATGCCTTACAAAGAGTGTTTTCTAATTAGACACATAGAAGATTACAGCTGCTTAATTTGGTGTTCAGAATTTTTTGCTGATTCTGGAATTCCAGATGAATGAAATGTATGGAGTATGATATCACAGTTTGGCAGATCCTCCCCCAAACTCCCTTTAAACGAAAAATGAAAAAAAAAAAAAAAAAAAAAGCAAAACTAAGAAAGAAGGAAAAAAAGGCACAAGGCAGGAAGGCAGAAATGTTTGTGACAGAAGTGGAATTGCTATAAAATGTATTGTACTCTTGATTGGAAGAACTGAAAGAACATTTCAAGAGAACTGAGATCTACATGCAGTCTCAGAAGTGTCATAGAGTCATAGAATGGCCTGGGTTGAAAAGGAGCACAATGCACATCCAGTTCCAACCCCCTGCTGTGTGCAGGTCACCAACCAGCAGCCCAGGCTGCCCAGAGCCACATCCAGCCTGGCCTTGAATGCCTGCAGGGATGGGGCATCCACAGCCTCCGTGGGCAACCTGTTCCAGTGCCTCACCACCCTCTGGCTGAAAAACTTCCTTCTAATATCCAACCTAAACCTCCATTGTCTCAGTTTAAAACCATTCCCCCTTGTCCTATCACTGTGCACCCTTGTGGGTGTGCTCCTTTCAAGTACTGGAAGGCTGCATTGAGGTCTCCTCAGAGCCTTTTCTTCTCCAAGCTAAACGATCCCAGTTCCCTCAACCTTTCCTTGTAGGAGAGCTGTTCCAGGTGTCACACTGGGAAATTTCTGGCCATAAATGATGAGAACTTGCAAAATGTTTGCTATTTGGTCATTTCATGGGCTGTGCGATGTATCTGTGTTCTCTAACCAAGGGGAGCAGGGTGCAAATCATTTTTGGGGCTCTAGTTAAGGTTTGGGCTGGAACCCCTCATCAACCAAGGGTTGGTAGTCACCAGAACTGATGGTCCCTATGCTTCCAGAGCTCACCTACGCCTGGATCTTCAATGAGTACCCATCGTTCGTGCACCAGGACAACCGCCGCTTCGTCTCGCAGGAGACGGGGAATCTGTACATCGCAAAGGTGGAAGCTTCAGACGTGGGCAACTACACGTGTGTGGTGACCAACACAGTGACCAACAGCCGGGTCCTGGGCCCTCCCACCCCGCTCATCCTCAGGAACGACGGTAGGACTTGTTTGGTTTTCTTTGGCTGTCACGCAGGATTTAAGGAACGGCCTCGAATATTTCCGTGTTAGAATGGAGGGATTTTCCCTTTCACGGAGCTTTGTGAGACCTGTGGTTTAGCTGTTGGTTCAGCCTCCTTCACACTGGTGGGTTTTGTGATGCTGTGGCCAAGGTTGCTATTTCCATCGTTGGAAGAACTTTCTTAGAACAGATTTTGGCTGTACTGTAGTTTTGTTCATTTTACGCAGCCCAGAAGTGTACAAAAGCACTTTGTTGTTTCGGTAACTGTTAGTTCAGGCTGTATTTCCCAGCAGAATCCATGCTATTTTTAGTAGTTTGTGGAATAATACTAAAAAAAGAAAAAGAAAAGAAACCAAAAGAGGATTTCTAAATTTATACAGGCAATTGATTTGTATCATAGTCATTTCTAAGGAGATAAGAAAAATAAATTTGCATGTTAATTTGAAGCGTCTGTTTAAAGGCTAGCATTTAGGGCATTGGTTCCAAAAATAGAAACGTATTATTAGAAACTTCTTTTGGAAGACGATCAGTTGTCACCTCGTGGTATTTCACAAAGATTCCTCCTGTGTAGGACAGGGATGTGGTGCTGCCAGCTGCAGCCGTCCATCTGTGATAAGAGAGGTCCCACGGTGGGGTGTTGGATGGGCTGGGGTGCTGAGCAGTGCCCCTGTTGTGCTGGGCAGGGTGAGGACAGCTGCTCTCCTGTGCCTCAGATCCGCTCCCCTTACAGCACACCTCTACAAATGCAGTGGTTTAAGTGGCAGCAGACGTGGCCCTGAGTCCAGTCTAAGTCATCACACCAGCTGCTCTGAGGAAAGCAATTCCATCCGGCTGAAACTAAGATGGTGTGAAAGACAGGGAGGAGTATTGAAATTCATCTCGTGTTAACATTTTCAGCGCTGAACGAGAAATGTTGGTAGGTGTTAAATAGGCAACATTTTTCTGCAAGCCTTACCTAGCGGAAAGCGCTTCCATTTGTCAGAACTGAGCTCAGTGCCTGCTCTGTTTCTGAAGCAGAGGGTAATGCTGCGATGATTGGGAGTCATCCTGATTGTCAAGTGCATTGCCAAGGGCTCTACCCCAGCGCATCGCTCCTCTGCACGCACTCAGCTTTATTTACAGAGACCAATTGCCTTCCCGAGGTAATTCGCAGGAATGTTCTCTGATTCCTTTGATGTGCACTCTGCTGTTTATTATAGATATGAAACTTTAATTGAACCTCTGAGGAGCTCCGGAATGCATTCCTGAGTTAAACAGCAAAGGTGCTGTAATGTCTGTAGAGCCACGGATGACAATAATCAAAAGTTGAACGTGCGTTTTAAAATAGGAATGCACTACTGTGAGACGCAAACTTCATTTTAAGAATCTGCAAGGCTCAGTTTTTCATTCCACTTAGAGTAACCCTATAAAATCTGAATAGAACACAGTGTCATGCTTGAAAAGAGAAATTACATATGAAATACATATACTCTGAATGTGGGACCAAGAGGAATGAGTGAAACACGAGGCACATGGTGCTGCCACTGGCAAATGTGTCATGTTTATTTTTTGTATTCCTGTTTGGCATGTCCAGCAATATACGTTATTTGCTTTACGACACTATGTCATTAAATCAGTACCCTCAGAGGCTGGTTCATCAGCAGTTAGTGTTTCAGTTCCATTTAACTTCAATTAGTGAATTTAATGGGGAAAAAAAGCATAATGTGCCTCCCTGGATTAATGTAAGTCACTGACCTGCTCCCTCCACGTGGGACTCCTGTGCAGCTCCGGGGGGGGATTTCAGGGGGGGCTGCAGCACTGAGACCCTCAGCCTGGGCTGGGGCTGCTGACCACCTCCAGCGAACCGTGCACAAAAGAGATTGGCATTACACGTGTTGGAGGTACTGCCTGACTGGCTTTGTTTTGAAATACATGCCATGAATTCTGAAAAAAGACTTCACAGAAATCTCTGAAATTTGTTTTTCTCAGAAATCATAGCTGGTGTTCGCTTTGTGGCCAAAGCTCCAGCACCCTTCTCCCTCCCCCCTCCCAGCCCAGCATCCGCTGCCCTCTCTGGGCTGCAGTATTACAGGGCTGGGATCACTGCCCGAAGGCTGGGAGTGACCCTAAAGCCTGAAGGCATCCACCAGGAGCACAGCTCTCAGTGCAGCTGAGAAAGAACAGGTATCTGTGAGTTCCAAGCGTTTGCCTGGCACCTCTCTGCTGCAGTCCCAGTGCCGCAGCAGCCCTTCTGCAGTGCTCCACTTCTTCTCTTTAAAATGCACTTCGGGTTTTTACATCAAAATTAAAACAGTAATAGTGGAAAAGAGCTGCAATAGACCTGGAATGAAATTACCGTCAGCAGCAGCTGTATGGGCCAATTAAACTTTAACATTTCACAGGTGTTGTCAGGAAATGCATATCCTCAGACAAATGAGTTTGCTTCTGAATTCCTGGAACTTTCATCCAAAAGCACGTTTTTAAGCCTTGAAACTAGGAGAAAAATATCAAATCCTCTGAACTGCAAACACATACAGCATCTGATGTGTCATGACACTGAAAACATCCTCCAAGCTACAAACCCAGGCTCTATTTTAGTCTTTTATTTTCTCCCTTATTCTTTCCACCTGCAATGCTAAGTCAGATGTTAACTCACCTAGGAACAGCAGGAGAAAATGAGGATTGTCGGTGTGAAAAAGAGCTTAGGTTTGGTAGTGAGGTATCTCCAATGTACCCATGTTTTTGCTTTCAGGCAGAGAAGCCAGAGCTTGATGTACACCCGGTGTCTCCAGGGGGGTGGTTGGGGCTGTGATGGGATCCTGGTAGTTTTTCCAGGTGCAGATGCTGGTATTGAAATGGGGAGTGTTTGCAGTAAGGCTGTTAAAGCGCTCAGTTCCTCATTGTAAGAGGAAGGAGGGGATCTGCCCTACAGCCCTGGTGCCTTCAGCAGTCTGCCTTGGCTTTGTGCCCTCAGGGTCACAGCTTTCCAAGGTAAGGCAGTCTGAACAATAAAGGAAGAGAAGGCAAAAAAAAAAAAAAAAGTTCTTTTCCTCCCATTCCTCGTTGCCTGATCTGTCAGGTGAAGAATGTATTAATAATACATTCTGCCTTAATTTCCTAAATAGCCCGTTAGTGTCAAATGATACTTTACAGCCTACTTTGCATAAGGGGGCCAAATTAATGCTTTCGGAGCGAAGAAGAAAGAATCGCTCCTGTTGCTTTTGCTTTTTAGGGACTGGATTAAGCGTTGGCATGCAGACTGCTCCTGTGAGCATCTCCCACGTTCTTTGAGGTGCCTCCCACCTCTCAGCTCAGTGCCAGTGGAGCCCCGTGGTGGGCTGGGGGTGCTGCAGACAGGGCACTGGGGAGCTCTGCTTGGAGAAGGAGGTGGCTGGAGGCGATTGGTTTCTCAAGGAAGTCCTCACTGAGCAGTGCAAGGCAGCGAGGAGCCTGGCTGCATCTGACCAGGCTGGCACAGAACGTGTATCTGTTGAGGGATGCCAACTCCAAGCTCCGTGGTTCTTCTGCTGCCAGAATGGTGGCACTATAGAATATGGAAATGCTCTCTGGAGAAAGAATCTCAGTAAATTTTAATATCAGCAAAGGAGCTGCGTTGTTTGCAAACATTCTCTCTCACACAGCTCTGTCCGAGGGAACAGCTGGGCAATGGCTGCTCCTTGTCCTGCCTGGAGCTCTCCCAGCAAATATTTCGTTTGGAGTGTGGAGGAATTTTAGGCACCATTTGGTAAATCACAGTCAGGAGAGAGCAGAGAGACTTTGCCTCCGTAGCGCTGGTCTCTCCCAGCCCTTCAGGGCTGCTCTGTTAATGTTCAGTGAGCTGATGGGGATTGTGCTCCTTAATTCCTTTTTGTGTAATCTGTAAATGCTGGAGCACAGACAGACTCGCGTGCTTCCTGCTCTGTGTGCTGTCCAGGGCACGTGTACAGGGACAGCATCCGTATCTGTAACAAACACGTTCCATTTGGATGGCTGACTTTGTGCAACAGCTGCTCTTTGTGCAACGTAGCAGCAGGATTTATGTGAAAGGAAAGGGCTGAAGAACGCTGATGTAACCTGGTAGGGCAGCACAAGCAGCACAACGTGCAGTGCAGAGGTCACCAAGTGAGGGGACACTCAGTGTAAGCCTCAGGGTGAGCATCTTCAGCTTTAAACCATTTTAAATGTGAAAAAGAAAAGCCAGAAGGGACCTCATGCTACCTCTGCAACACAGGGAGAGAGGAAGCAGCGCCACAACCACAGCCCATCACTCTGCTGTGGTCTCCGTGCTTCCAAATCCCTGAAGTTAATAGAAGCCTTGATTAGCTCCAGTGCTTTTAAACTTTTCCTAATGGCTATTTATTCTGCATTTCATTTTCTAGAAGGTGGTGAACCCCCCCCTTATTGTTGCTTTATCTCGTGAGTTACCTGCAAAAACCTCCGAATATTCAAAAGCAAAAAGTAATGCAGCCATGAAGAAATGTTAATCTGTGGCAGATGGTGTGGAGCGCTGGTTCCGATTTTCCTCTGGCAGTAAATGGGAAGAGAGCCCACACGGCATGGCTGTTAGAAACAGGCCATGTTTAAAATGAATGGATTAATTGGGCAAGTAATGATGTAGAGAAGAGCTGTGCAGTAGCACAGGAACGCTTGTGAATTTATTGGCAAACCTCAGCCCAGCCTTAGCCGCTCTTTTATGTTTGCAGGGGTGATGGGGGAATACGAGCCGAAAATAGAAGTGCAGTTCCCAGAAACAGTTCCGTCTGCAAAAGGAACAGCGGTGAAACTGGAGTGCTTTGCCCTGGGAAAGTAAGTTGTGCTCCTTCTGCTGCTGGTGCACAGCACAGCCGCGAGGGCTGACGGTCCCTTGCTTTCCACAGCAGGAGTTGTTGTTGCCAGCACTCATTACAGAGCACTTGGGGAGCAGGGACTTTGCTTACCAAAAAGCATAACTTATTTTGTACAGATACACTTGTGCATCTTCAGTTCTGAGTGCTTCTGCTAGACTTAAAGCCCGTCTATTTTTCCCAATGTAAATAGTAGCAGCACTTCCAAAATGAAAATGTGGGATTGATAAGAGAATGGATGTACTGTCACAGCAGAAACCCAATTCCAGTTTTGTCAAACTGTGTTTTTATAACACAGTCTCCTGCTTTTAAGGTAACGTGAGCAGTACACCATTGATACACAAAGTATATACATGCAGATCACTCCGTATCCCAGGACCGACCACATCTTCATCATCCTCAAACATGAAGCGGTTTCCAGTTGGTCAGACACGAGGTCAGCAGGACAAGACCCATAGCTTTTACTGCAAACCTTATTTGCTTTATTCTTCTCATTTAGCCCCGTTCCTACGATCAGCTGGAGGAGAGCAGATGGGAAACAGATTCCCAGAAAAGCCAGGAGACACAGATCAAATGGACTTCTGGAGATCCCAAATTTTCAGCAAGAAGATGCTGGACTCTATGAGTGTGTTGCTGAAAATGTGAGAGGGAAAAACGTGGCACGAGGACAGCTGACATTTTATGGTAAGCAGATTGCCTGCTTTTAGAGGATTTTATTGCATCAGATGCGATATGCAGTAAATATTTTGAGAGAAAGTCATTGGGGGGGGCAGATTTTTAAAATGACTAATTTATGAACAGTACATCTTGAAAAAGGTGTAATTTGAAATAAAATCTGTCTGAACGGCACATATTGATTGAGAATCAGAGCTGCTGGAAAACAAAACCGTGTTGCTGGGAGGACATTGGCCTGGTAACACACAGAAAGAACTTGAAGAGCTTCATCTCCCTTCCCTTGGCTGGGAGTGCAGAGCAGGGATTTGTGGTGGTGCTTACTGCTTGTGATTTATTATGTGTGTGTGGCCCCACAGAAGGGGGAATCCCCAGCTTGTGTTAATAAATGTTAATTGTGTATAACCAGTTAAGGACTGTTTGCAGCAGGGGTCACCAACAGTGGTTGCCCAGCCTGGAAAGCAGGGCTTAACCATGTCAGAGCCTACAGAATCAGAGCCACCTAAAGGCTTTTCTGCACCTGCTGCTATCACACTCAGGAATTTTTTTAGTTGAAACGTTTCCTAAAGATCTGTTTTGTTTTGAAACATCATCAGTTTTACAGTTTGGTTTATCCCAGGGCCAAGGCTGCAGTTATTCAAACCTTGGGTAGACTCCTACCATAGCAAACGTTAGATTATCATCTAATTGATTTAGTGAGTAACCCAGTCTGATCTTACTCCTGATGGGCAGCAGACCATACAAAAAAGCTCCTGCCATGGTTTGTGTCAATTTTCAGGTGTCTTTTCAGCACAGAAAATAAAGGTTCCATGGGACGAGCAGCATCCTCCTCTCTCTGTTGTTTGTGATGTTGTGAACCGTCTCTACATCTCCTTTTCATCCTGTAAGCAGAGGGGTGTCAGCCTGTGCTAATTTCTGTTTTTAAACATAATACGCTAAAAAGCAGGCTCATCTTCAGGATGGTGAGTTGCTCGTCTGTACATACTCAGCTTTCAAGGCTGGCTGCCACCAGCCTGTATGTGGCAGCCATTCAGCAGTGGGAAATTGGGTTTTCTATTTTCTGTACGCTAGGCTTTTGAGTTTCACATGGCAGGGAAATTTTTTGAGGACAACTTACCATAGGCATTTCATATGAACTGCTGAGACTGAATGACAGCTATTTTCCTGTAATCACTTTTTTTTTAATGCTGAGAAGTACTGTGCTGTTACTGAAACATAAGAGCAGTGCTGGCAGAGCTGTAGGAGCTGGTTTGGTGGGGTAGGAGCTGCTGCTCAGGGATGTGGGACACAGAGCTTGGGCTTGTGCACACCACCACACAGGGACACGCTGTCACAGCATAAGCCTAGAGATTAAAATCTGGCTCTAACAGTGGCACTCTTTTAAACCCAGTTATCTGCTTGTGTGCAAAGTATTAAAAAAAAAAAATAGAGAAGAAAAAGAAAATGAAATTCAAATTTGCCTGCTTGCTGCAGATAACCTGGCCCTGCCTGCATTGTCAACTTCTTTCAGTGCTCCTGGAAGTTGTCAGGAAAGGTTGACTTCTGTTGTATTTCATTCTTGTATCAATGTTTATTTTTTCCTCTGTTAGCATATCAGTGACATGAAAGTTGTTTGACATCCTCGTTGTGGCAGGAAAGGTTAATTAAATGTGCAAGATCTGTTCTTCCTCCATTTTCTCCGCTTTGAGCCCCTACAACAGTCTGTGCTTTATTGTTCTTCAGAGCCTTTGTTCTGAATGCTGCATGGCCTTCTTGATAGATAGACCTACACGATAGAAAACACGTTGGTGTTAATGCAATTACTGTGACTTGTACCTGTTTTCTTGACTGTTATACCTCTGAATGATAGATCACTCGAGTTTTTTTTTTTTGCCATAAGACTCTCTTGTTCTGTCTGCCACTCCTAACCTGATACCATGTACCTGAAATTGGCTCCGGAGAATCAGCAAATTAAACTGGAAAGCCACTGTCTTCCATTCCCAGCTGTACTTAGCTCCCACAAACACGTTGCACCTGATGCTGGAGGAGGTTGCTGGGACCCAGCACCCAAATGGGGAGGAGAAAAGGGACCACTAGGGCTATGAAGGTGCAGTACCACCAGGAAGGCGTTTATGCCAGAGCTAGGATCAGAAACAAGCAGTTTGGCTTTGGTGTTTGCAGTCAGATCTAAGCTGTCTTATACAGCCTGGAAGTGAGGGAAGATATCCAAGGACTGGTGTGATACTTGGATCTGTATTGGAAAATATCCAAGGACTGGGAGTCCTTCAGCTGAGATGAGCTCATACATTCCTTGCCAAGCATCTTTCTGGAACCAAGGTGAGGAGGAATAACTGCAGGCAGAATGATTTCTGAAAGCATCAGCACAGCAGCATCTGTATTAGCAAGAAGCAGGCTTATTTGTAACTAATTACTTTTCTTTGCAGCACTTTGTAAAATATTCAGCAGAAACCATTTAATTGGCCGGGCCACTTCTCAGATTAAATATTTCTCAAATGAAAGTCCCACGAGGAATGTATACAGCTCCTTAATTTTACAATGAGAAGAGTCCCCCTTTCATGAATGAGCCTGAGTTTTACTTCTGCTAAAGCTACTTTATGCCACTCTATAAAATGAGCTCAAGTGTAGAAATCACGTTATGCTCCTCACTTGCTAGAAGTCTGACAAGGAAATTTACATAAGTTAAAATCAGGAGGTTGTATATCTCTACTCCATTTAGGCCCCAAATCACAAATAATTTGCTGAAAAAATCAAAACCACTTGAAAGAAAATGAGTTATTGGGCTGGTAAAGCACAATAAAATGAACACTAATAGCACCAGTATGTGTTGTTATTAGTTATAATTTGTATGTCTCACTAGAAACCCTAGTTTTCTCTCTGTTATGGAGGCATATGAGAAAGCAAGTTCTCACCTTCAAGCATCTCAATGTTAATTTTGTTTAAAGTCTCAAATGTTGTGTTGCTGTGGAATGTGGTACCAATGTGCCTCCTGGTTAACAACCTCTAGAGACCTGCCAGGCACCAAAGCTGTCCTTAACACGAGCAGTGCTGTGCTTGGGAGCAAATACTGCAGTGCCCTTTGCCACTGGTTGCGCTCTCCATGGATGATGATGGCTTACCAACAGAGTGTGTGTTTTCTCAGACTTCGGTGCAGGAGGGAAAGTAACTCATGAGCTTTGAATAATGTGCTGCCTGAAGGAAGCCTTGCCTTCATAGGAGGTTTCTGCATAGAGAATGGGCGTCTTTCTCCTCCGCTTCCCTTTTTTCTAGGGATGGCTAGAAGCCTGCTTAGAGAGAAATCTGTTTCTAGAAGATTCAGGGAAAAGTGTTCAAATTACTGTCATTTTGCCTTCTGAAAATAGCTCTTTGTCAGGAGAAACTAAAGCAGGTAGGAGAAATGAGGATCGAAGGCAACTCAAAGAGTATCCCGCATCTTCCGTACTCTCCTGGGTAGCTGCATCCTGAGCATCAGTGGTTAAAAATAAATCGGTCCCTGGGGTCTGGTCTGTATGAATGTGTCTGTGCACACAGTCCTTTGGTACTTGATATAAGAGGGGAGAAAATCGTGCACTGGCACAGAATAGCTTATGGAAGAGGAATTAAATACTAGGAGAGGACAGTTAAAGTAGTTTTTATCTGTTAGATTAACTCCTTTGAATTCTTCCTTGTTTTTTTTCCTCTGATATTTAATATTTTAGTCCCAAGGAGAACTCCTTGTCCAGTTCACTGTGATAGTCTTCCAGAAGGGCAGAAAGGAGACTACCTGCCCACACGGTAGTATTGAACCGCTCAAAGATGGAGGCAAGTGAAGGGACCTGATTTAGATGTGACATTCAAGCAAATGACTTTGGTGGGGATCTGCACATCTTTGAGACTTGTATGGATTTCAAATAGTCCTCAGTTGCCAGCAGAGGTCAGGAGAAAAGAATTAAGAAAAGGGAAGGAAAAGAGGTAACTTAATGTCTGGTTTCGTGTTCCTGTGGCGATTGGGATTGACAACAAATTGTTTTCAGAATCTATATCCCCACTTGGACTGGGGTGACACATGCATTTGCCTGCACAAACTTTATATGCTGGCTGTAATATTTATTTTGAATTACTCATCTATTTCTCCCATCTGTTTTTCCTATTTCTTGTGCTTAACTTTCTGATCTTTAGGCTTCTCTGGTCCTTGGCTCAGTCTCAGTCTCCTCATAATAGATATAGTAATGGACAGTCATTCAGCCTTTCATCTGCCATTAATGATGAATTACACAGCCTACACTAGGTCATCAGCTGCTATAAATTGGCTTAGGAACATTGAAATCAATATACACCAACCAAGAATTGGATTCTGTGTATGTATTAGTACCTCATTTTTTTTCAGTCTCTTTGGCTGTTTTGAACTTGCAGAGGCTTATGAAGTCCTACAGATTTATTTCTGTTTTGTTTCTCATGTCATTCCCATAATTCTTTGGTTTTTTTATTTCTGATGTGTTGCCTCATCATTGGCTATCATTTCATTCTGAGAAGCCTTTTAGGATGTGATTTCTGGTCCAACTTTCCAGTGCCAACTTTTGCGTTTCCATTTATTACAAAGAACAGACTCTTTCTAGATTCTTTTCTCATGAAGGAGCAAGAGAATACCTGAGCGTGTTCCTTAATCACCTTGTTTAAAATGCCCCACTTCATATTGGTGAAGTCTGAAAAGTAACAAAAGGCAAAATGTTTGGGTTTTTTTGTTTAGATCCATGCCATCACTTTTTCTGCCCACCTGAGTACAATTTCCAGACAGCTCTCACCTTTTTCTTTAAAGCTACCCTTTTGCAAGCATCATATTTTAATGTTTTTTTTGCTTTATAGATGTAGCGTATGAATTTTCTTTGCAACACAGTTGAATTCTTAATCAAATTCTGTGTAATTGTTTTCTTTAGTACCTGATTTTTCTTCCTGAAAGATTCCAACCAAAGCCAGTAACATCAAACTACTCCTAACAGAGTCAAAATGTTTCCTGTCCCATCATATGCAAGAATTCCTCTTTGCTCAGTGCCACAGAAATTAAATGAAGGACTTTTTCAAGAACACCACTACTAGTCATTAAATTAAAAAAAAAAATTGAACCTTTTCATTATCTTGAATAATGCAGCAATACCAGAAAATTTTCTAGCACAGAGCAGGTTTCGTATCCTTATTTGAATTATTTTAATTATCGTGCTTGAAATCTTGTGTCACATTACTGTGTCTCGGTACAATCCCCAATGGGAGGCTGTCAAATTTCATTATATTATGGCGACTCTCATTTGGTGGTTCAAACATATTTGCTACATGAACCAACCCTTGTGTATAACTCAGGATTAAGTCAAGAGCATGCCTGGTATTCTCTGAAATGAGCTGTTCAAAGGAGAGCTTGACCTAATTAGAAACGTCTCCCAAAGAGCAGCAGAGAATGAAGTTCCTGGGAAACATAGGGCTCCTCCAGGTTTCACTGAGCTTTATTTTTAACCTGATACGCTTGTTCTGTAGTCTTCTGCATCATAAATAGCTGTAGGGTGGGAAGCTTAACTAGTTTAAATAACTGGAAAGGATGAATGGTGGGGCGAGCCTGCAGTGTTGCAGTGGGTGGGATGTGGTGGCTCCTGTGGTTCCAGCACCGTGGTCAGAATCTGCACTGTTACCTAGGGTAGAATCATAGAATGGCCTGAGTTGAAAGGGACCACAATGATCATCCAGTTTCAACCCCCTGCTATGTGCAGGGTCGCCAACCAGCAGACCAGTCTGCCCAGAGCCACATCCAGCCTGGCCTTGAATGCCTCCAGGGATGGACTTTGTGTCCATCCATGTGCAGGACTTCACATTTGTAACATGCACACTGTAAAAGAAAGACTGGATGGATAGCAGTCTCTCACTGGCATGAGTAAGAACTTGCCTCTGTCGAGGACTATGATTGCCTGAAATAAGGATAAGTACTGAATTGAAATAAGGATAAAAAACTGAGTTTACTTTGCTCCCCAAAAGGATATATATATATTTTCTTTTTACATTGCTTACATTTATATTCTATAGAGCCTACTGTGCCTTTTATGGGTTTCGTTCTCTGCAGGATGCTTCGGTTGTTTTGTCTGCCTTTTTTTGTTGTCATGTGGGAAATCAGTAAAACACTCAGCTCTGCAAAAAAGGCAAATGGGTCTGTGTGGTTTTGTAGAGCTCCTTTCACGGTATCGTAAGATTTTCTTCAAAATTACGAGTTAGATGCTCTTAGAATAATGAATATGTAAACTCATGAGTAATTTGCAAATGTCCTTGAGCCAGTGATCCTGTGGAGTTGCATGTGGTTGTTGAAGTTCTTAAATGACAGAGCTGACTTTTGTCTTCCTACGTTTAAACCCTTTCCTTTTCACATCACTTTAGATACAGATAATAAACAAGGTTAACACATTACAGGGCAGGAGGTGCAGTCAGAGATGCAAGCACTGCTCACCTCCCATTTCCAGGTATTGCTCCTGCATCATCATTACATTCAGTTTTCCTTTCTGCTTTTCTTACAAGTCCCTTAGAGTATTTCTTGAGGCAGATTTCAGATTCTGTGCAAAGTTCTTCAGGTTTCCACTAAGCTTTGTTGTTTATAGATAGTGAGAAAGGAAGCGTGCTTAAGTGGTAGATGTGGAATTAGGCACACGTCTGTCACAGCCTGAAAAGAGTTTGAAAAGGCACTGAGCTCTCTGAATGTGTATATCCAGCATCATCTAACAGTACACATATCAATTTTTCAGGTATAGGTGTACCAACGTTGTGTTCAACTTAACACTTTTGTGTATTTTTAAATTTATCCTTTCAGACCTCTTTTTCCGGTTCCTGTTTTTATTCAAAAGAGATGCATTTTTTCTTGTTGTTGTTTTGCTTTGTTTTCTCTGGGAGTAATCTTATTTGTTTTTTATCTTGATTGCATGTGAGGAGGGATTAATCAGGTTCTTGGAGACCTCTGCTGGCAACGCCTTCCTACTAAGTCTTTCAGATTTTCTTACTCCAGAGTAGGGTAAATGACAACTAAAAAGACTGAATGTCCTTTATTTTTAATGGGACTTTCTGAAAAATATTGTAAATAAGTGTAGGCTGATGGTGTTTGTGAAAGTAACAACAGAAAGATGTTTTGTGTCATCTCCAAAAACAAGGGGTAATTGTGCATGTGGTGCTCTAGCTAAACTTAAGCTGGACGTTAAAAAAGATATATATATATATTGAACTCTTATGATAATAATGTGTGAAACATAGCTAAAAATACAATTGCATGCCTGAAATCTTCCAGCACAAGTTTGACTGAGTTCTAACAAAATGTATCTCCAGGATCTGTTTTTGGAGGTGTTCAGTGTCATTAATATAATTACTGGCTCCAGTGACTTTTTCATACATGTGAAAGATCTTTGTGTGGCAGTGCTCCATGGGTCAGGCCCGAATCTAACTCTTATATGTGATGTTAAAGAAAGAAATGTATGGCTGTGTGCTGGAGAGCAAGCTGTCATTGGCAGACACGAGGCTTTATTCCTCACTTTTGCATTGCAGCTCAGCCCAACTGGATTCAGAAGATCAGTGATGTGCACGCAGCCATTGAGGAAAATGTCTTCTGGGAGTGCCATGCGAGCGGGAGGCCGAAGCCCTCATACCGCTGGCTGAAGGATGGTGAACCTCTACTGCCTCAGGTAGGCATTCTTGTTCTGCTTATGGCTTTATGACTCATAGGGATGGAAGTCATGGCAGCGCTCTGAAACCCCTTTCCTTTGTGGGTAATTCCTTGTCGTGCTTGGTAGGTGCTTCTATGTGGGGTTGAATTCCTGGGTTGGAGAAGAGGGAGATGCCCCGTTCTTTCTCATGGGCACAGGTTGGCTTCAGAGAGCTGTTAATGACACCTAGGATGCACGACAGCTTTCAAGTTCCTCACAGAAATGAAAGATACACAAATCCAACAAATCTAAGAGTGGATCTGCACATGTGAAGAAGTGGTAATGGCCATGTGGGACTGTGGGTTGCCTTGGTTTTGTTGTTTCAGCTTATGGTTTGGAGGCAAGCTACAACTGCTAAGCAAACCTTAGAATTTCTCCTGGTCTCTAGCAGCATTCCTATTCCTCCTGCCCAGCTGTGTCCCTGTGTGAGTGACCAGGAGCCTGCCATTGCCAGGAACACCGAAAACTGCCTAGGGACGAGGAATCCATAGGAACAGGGCAGGCGCCTGCTCCTTGTACCACTGAGGGGAATCACACAGTCCTGTGATTGCCTCAATTATAACAACAAACTAAAACAAATTACCAAAGCATTGGCTTCACAGTAGCCTGCATTTTTTTCCCTTCGCTTGCTGTGAAAGAACATGGCTGCCCAGATTTGATCAAACCCTGACAAAGATTGCACAAACATTAAATTTCCACCCTACGGCCAAGTAGAAAGCCAATAGCTCTTTATATTACTATTTTTTAATGGTGAAACTCCTGGGGAGGGAGGAAACACTTTGCTGTACTTATTAAAATTGATAACGTGAGCTCCATATCCTTAGGCTGACAAATGATACTGTGGTCTTTTGTTCCACACACTAATTTTACTTGCTTCACGCTGGTCACTAGCAGATGGTCTTGTACGTAAATCATGTTAGTGGCTGATACGAAGTGAAGGATCATTAAATTATTAACATCTATGTTGTTTGCAGTAAACTGCAGAAGATTTTAAATATTTCCCATTGTAGCTAAAATGGCAACCAACTAACCTTCTTTCTCGTATATACCTGTAATATCATTGTTTTAAATATTTTAAAGAATTAGGTTGGCTGTGATGTGTCACCATGGGGAGAAAAAAAAAGTATATTTTTTGATTCAAGTTCACCTGCTTGAAAGGGAGATTAATCTAAATGGTTTAGGTATTAAATCAATGAGAAGTCAAGGAAAAGTCCTTCGATTTAAATTGCATTTACCAACTACTGTATTGTTTTTTCCATTTAAGCTGACGTAAATTTAGTTGGCAAACAAATAGAATGGAGCATGCAAATTCTTCCTGTTACTGCTGCCTTTTTGTCTACCTGGGTCTGCAGAATGGCACAGCTCCTGCTGGGATTATTTTCCAAGGAGGAATCTCCTTATTTACTTCTTTACTTGTTTGACTATTTCCCACAGGGCAGAGTTCAGATAGAGCAGGGCTCACTGACCATAAGGAATGTCAGCCTGTCGGATGCCGGCATGTATCAGTGTGTCGCGGAAAACAGACACGGCACCATTTTTGCCAGTGCAGAACTGAGTGTCATAGGTAAGTTTACTTTCCTGAATGCTGCAAACTTTCCAACACTGGCAAAGCTTTAACCCAAAGTGGTTTTGCCAAGTGTCAACGTCTGAAGAAGTGTCGCTGAGAATCTTGGACAAGTTGTTGTTTTTAAGTATGGCATGAAATGAAAGCTTGAGAAAGTGGATCAGTAGAGAACAGATTTCTTTATATCATGTAATATTCTCATATTCATCCAGGTAATTGAGCACGGAGAGCTGGCAAGCCTGCTCACACCTCCTTCTAACCCAAGCACTGCCCTAATTCAAAGCACTCTGGACTGTCCCAAGGAAATGTTGAAAACCTTTCTGTCTGAATAGAACTTTCACCATCCAAAACCATGATGCTTCAGTCCTAGACCCTCACCAAGAAAACAACTTCTGCCTTCCCTGTTTTTGTGTATGCCTAACCTAATCATTCCAGTTAATATCAGGGAATCCTCCTGTGAATTGAGTCCTCCAGCAATTGGAATCAGGCTTAACATGAAATCCAGAAGATGGATCTTTGAGTGAGAATGGAATTGAAGTCTCCAAATTCCTATTCTGTATTGAATTAGCAAGCTGTTCTCACTGCTTTCTTCAGCAAACCTAATGGGAAACTAATGGAGATTGCACTGGGGGATGTTAACGATCTGTGTAAATGCCTGATGGGAGGCAGTAATGATGATAGAAACAGGTTTGTCTCAGTGATGCCCAGCACCCAAAAAAGAGCAACGGGCATGGGCTAAAACATAGGAGATGCCATTTAAATATAAGAAAATCTTTATTTTGCTGTTTCAAACATAACATGAGTACAGGTTGCCTAGACAGAATACGACATCTCCATCCTTGGAGATACTCAACACCCAACTGGACAGGATGGTGGGTAACTTGCTCAGGCTGAGCTGAGATGGAACAGGGCCACCATCACTAACTTCAGCTATCCTGTGATGCTGCACCTCACTCTCTGAAAGCTCATGTGTGAGTGACAGGCCTAGGAATCTGTAAGTCAAAATGGATATTTAGCTTTGAATAGTTAAATCGAATTTGCAATTAAAAAATAGTGCTTTAGTTGTTTTTTCAAAACACATGTTCAATAGCATAATTCCCCACTTCATCCCGAAAAACAAAGCGAAAGGTCTTTACTGATTATGGCGTTTTCAGTATCAGTCATTTTTATCAGCAGCAATACAGCGGAAAGAGAAATCATTTGAAAGATTGTTGTTGTTGCTCTTCAAGAAAAGTACAATAATGTTCAATAAATCAGACTTTGCAGTGCTAAGATGTATTGGGTGTGTTACTGCATGAAAGAAATTCAAATAAGGCCACTGATGAATTTCCTGTAGAAATGAACCTTTGCTGGGAGTGCAGATTGTCTCGGAAGGTAAAGGCTATCAGTGGGTGCTGCCATCACCCAGCTGCCCCAGCAGTGGGGTTGGAACTGGTCCTGAGAGTGTGGTCACTGACATTTCTGGACTGTAGGTTGAATCATAGAATGCCCCAGGTTGGAATGGACCCGTAAGGATCACTGAATCCAACTCCTGGCAGTTGAGGACCAGACCTGCAATAGCAAGACAGCATCCTCACTGCACGCTGAGCACAGACAGAACCACCACCCAAAAAGATGGAACTGAACATTGAGGTTATAGTTATAACTAATGTGATTTCTGTCTTCCCCGAGTCTTGGAGGTAAGAAGGACAGCCCAGTTCAGGCCTCGTGTTGGCACAAAGAGCAAAGACGTTGGGAAACCTGTTCTTAAAAACCTGCCAGATAGATGGCGCGTAGCTGACCTCTCATCTGGATTTACACAATCTTGCTTCTGTGTGTCACGTGAGAAGTACCAGAATGCTGTGCTGCAGGTTCAGTTCTATGGATCGGTGATTTAATTTGGCACATTATTAAAGGAAAACAGCATGTTTTCCCTTTCACTGCAGTTTTCAAAGTAGGTCAATATTCTGAGTTCTCACTGAGAAATGTTGGCTTTTAAAGGGATCTTTCTGAGTATAAAAATGGTTATTTTACAAGGTCCTGATGTTAAGGACTTGAAATGATTAAACACCACTATTAGCAAGTGAGGCTTATAGCAAAATTAAGTGAAAAAGAGTGATGGAAAATTACTCACAGAGCTTTTCTCAGAGTGCTTCTCTATTATTGTTGTCAATTATATTGCCCAGAGTCTTGAGCTAAAACCAGAGTCCTGTTGTGCTGGGCATTGTGAAAACCTGTAGGAAGATGCAGTCGTTGCCTGAATAAGTTTTTCAGCTGGATATTTAAAAAAAAAAAAAAAAAAAAAAAGCTGGGAGATGAGCTTAGAGTGAAAAAAGTGTAATCTAAATCCTCATTTTACAAGCAAGGTGTGGGAGATACTGTGTTCTCCCTGAGGTGACACAGAAGGACTCCGGTAGTGCTGAGAACTGAGCCCAGAGATTTCTGAATTTCAGATTTTAGGTTCCCATCTCAGCCCTAAGCACGACCAGTAGAGAAGCTGTTTCACAGTTTATCAGACCCGAGCAGCAGTCTCTTAAGATTCCCAGCAATGTGTTGCTCCTTACGGACAACGTGCGTTCTGGCCATTCTGAATTCCTTGCATAATCAAAGTAGATTTTCCTCCTTCCCCCTAAATTTCAGTCATTTTGATCCCCCGATGACTGCTTTGTTCATCAGTCATCACAAACCCACGCTGCACTGCTCCTCTCCATCATGCAGGAGCAGGAGGGAAGTAGCCAATGACTTGTAAAGAAACAATCCAAACTGTGCCTTTCAGAGCTGGAAATCACCGGATAGTTCAAAAATCTCTTTTGCCCATACGTTTCAGACGATCATCTGAAAGCATTTCCAAAAAGGGACAGTGTGTCACCACAGTATGATCTAGCTATTGCTTCATCTGGCTCTGTGCACGTTGCTGGGGAGTTGTTCTCAGGATGCTGCTTTAATTTTGAAATGTTTTACATATCCGGTGTTGGTTTTCAGAAGGCTCTTTTATAGTTTTTAATAACATGATTTCCTCTATGCTAAAATGAATCACCCCTCTATGATTAGACACAGCAGACAGGGCATCTCAGAGATTAGTGAGCTCTGAGTCGCGTAAGGGGAAGACAGAAGGCTTCTATTAGAACATAAAGGCCATTCCATTGTCAGGGTGGAATTATTTTTTATTCTCAGCCCTTTTGCAGCAGGAACGATATTGGAAAGAACAGAGGCAGAAGAGATGCTGTAGGGAAAAAAAGAATTTGCTTTCTGTCTCCCACGGCAGCTTTTTGTCTCCCAGCTGCTCCAGGTGACCCTTAGATCCTTCTCTGGAGCACCAAGCAGATGCAGTGTGTGGTGATCTAAACTTACACCTCACGGAGCGTGGTGTAAGTTTACACAGCAAGAAAGGAAGTTGAGCAAACTGCTGCTGCCTCAGGGATGTGAGGGCACAGCAGGAGGCACAGTGCAAGGAGATGGGGAGAATCTGGGGGGAGCAGAGGGGCCTGAGCAGAGCTTTGTGCCACACAGACGCAGTGAGCGTGGCAAGAGCTGCTCATCAAACCATTTTGCTGCCTCCCCTGATTTGCTTTGAGCTTTTTGTACTGAAAAAAAAATAACTTTCCTATTTGATATAAACAAAACCTTCTGGCCTTCCTTGAGGAGTCAGTGGAGAGGGAGATGCCTCTGAGCTCTGCCTGTCATTGGGTCCCATCAAATCAATCATGAGCAGTCCTTGGGGGCCAGACAGCATCCTCCCCGCCAGGCCTGCCCCGTGGCCATGCTGCAGCCTGTCTGCACTGCTCTGCTGTTTGCCATTCTGAAGTGCTTTGCACAAAGCAGAGGAATGCACCCTGATGGTACTTGGGCAAATGATGGGAGATTTTTCCGTGTCCTGATGACATCCCAAGTCTTGGCCTTGTTTCACTTGTTTCAGGACCTGGCTGTGCCAAGGTCTCTCCCCTTTATAGCATCAAAATAGGAGATCCTCTTCGTGCAATGATTGTAAATATAAAAATGTCAGATTTTAAAACACTAAGCAATTACAGGTGGGAAGAATCCTTGGGATGTGGTCACGTTCCCAAGAGCCTGACTTTCTTTCCCAGAGGAAATTCTGACCCATATTCATTTTTTCTCTTCCAGCTGTTGGTCCAGACTTTTCCAAAACGCTTCTGAAAAAGTTAACTCTTGTGAAAGTGGGCGGTGAAGTAATCATTGAGTGCAAGCCGAAAGCCTCCCCCAGACCTACTTATTCTTGGAAGAAAGGAAAAGACATCCTAAGAGAAAATGAGAGGTAATGTCTTACAGAAACCATTTCTTTCATTGGCTCACTCCAACCCAGGGGCTTTCAGCAATGAAAACTAGATTTGTCATTAATAGCTTCCCAAAATTGACTTGCAAATAAATGTGAAAACAGCTAGTGTTAAATCTCAAGGAGCTGGGGGTGAAATTTCTATTCCCATTGTGTTCATCCTCATGTCTGTGTACTATTGAAGCATCCCCGCCTAGGAGCTGATAAAGACACATTCTAAAAAGCAAATCTTTTGTCTCTGGATTGCTCTTAATAGCCATTGTTTTTTCAGAACACTTTTCCAGAGAGTAGTGCTGAAACTCTCCACTGCAAATTGCACAATCCTGGTAAATTACTCAATGTGTCCTGCAATCAGGAGTTGTTTGGGGTCAGTAATTAATTTGGCAGTCATAACGCCTAACTTGGAGATGGCTTTTTCAGGCTGACCAAATAATATATATATAATTTTTCTTAATTCAAGGGAGAGAGTTAAGGGGAAGTGAGAGCCTCCCTTCTAAATCCGCAGTCATTGCTCCTGTGATTGCAGTGATCCATTGCTGGCTGTTATCTGTCCTGCTTCTGCAGCCTCTGAGAGAGGGGCCTGTAGAGCTGTTGTGGATGCCTCAAGGTGGGATGTACATCTTTTATTGCAGTGCATTTGTGGGAAGAGTGCATTTGTCTCGTATGAGTATGGACCCAAGAGACAGGAACTGGAGAAAACTGTTATTTTTAAAAGCTTAAACCTCTTAGAATTGGAAGTGGAAAGTCTAGTCTTGCTCCAGCCAACCTGCCTTTAATGGGCATTAAGCAAATACGATGGGGATGTGTATGTAAATATTCGTTTGCAGTTGGATAAGTAAAATAATGAACATATTTGTGACTTATTTACTGTCTAATATCTGGTCTTTAGGAGGCAGTTGTCTATGAACAGCTTGATTTCACCTCTTGGAATAAAAGGAGTTGGATGATAGGTGTGGAGAACTTCCTTGAGCATTCAGAGCACAAAGCTGTGCAAGGTTGATGTTACAGTATATCAAGTCACATTGATTTTTTTAAACCAAAGTAGCTTGTTCTTCTGGTGGAATTTGTGGAGAGGGTGGAAGTAGCAAGTGCTGAGGTTTCAGAGTGTCTGTCACCTTTCTGTCCTCACCGGCAGACTCTGCAGCTGAAATTTGCTGTTCTCCCTGAAGCTGCTCTCCTTGGTATGCTATGGTTTCATCTCTTTTTAATTTAGAGACTGGGAGAGGAGGCCTGGATTTATCTGCGCCAGGGATTAGGAAAGGAAAAAAATGAGAGCAACTGTGCTTCTTGCTTTGTCACTGCTTTGCGGTGCTAACAACAAAGTGATTTTGCTCTAGCACAGCTCTTTCATCTGCAAGCTTTCCTAAAGGTTGGCTGCTGTAATACAACAGAAGCCCCCGGATCCTGGCTTCCCAAGGGAAGGGGCTCATGACTTGTCTCATGCAGCCAGGCTCAGTTTGCCTGTGTGTGTCGTCACAAATAACTTCTGAGCTGGTTATTTGAACAGGCTGTTGGTGTTTCGACCAGTTTTCACCAGAGCTTAGAGGAAAAGATACACCTTGTAAAACAGGAGGTTTCTTCAGGGCTCTGTGAAAACAGGCAAGTGGGAAAAGGAGGCACTGACACCTCCCAGAAACACTGTCACCTAAAATCCACTGTGGTAGGCATGAGGGAATCCACACCAAAGCACACCCTGAAATGAACACATGTCCATGTGTTTTAAGGAGCAATTCTCTGGGCTGCATCTGCTGCATCTTCCTGACTCAACTTCACCCAAGGCATACTACGTATGGCAAAAGGCAGGTGTATTCTTAAAAGCTTACTAAGATCTGAAATGAAATATCGCTAGATTTTCTCACGTGGGGAAAAAAATAGGTCTCATTTCTCCTAGCGAGGCAGCAGTTGGGGAAAAAAGTAGCTGAGAGCTGAACTGAAATGCAGACTGGAGAACTGCTGTGCTCCTCACCCCGCGCCTGCCGTGCACCTCACCTGGCCAGAGCCTCCTGCCTGGGCACTGAGCCCTGGATGGGAAATCAGATGTGAAATGTACCCAAGCAGGTGTGAAATTTGCTGCTGCTGCAGCCCTGGGGTTTTTTCCACCAGCCAGATCTTCCAGCAGGGCCTCTCTGGCAAAACAGCGCTCCATTTACTTGGCGTTGGGCCTGTTTAGTTCTTCTACGCTGTTGTTTGTGTCTCTCGTGGGGATGAAGATGTTTAATCCTCATCATCGCCTCCATTATACAACATCCCTGCAATCTGTGACTGGAGACTGTGTGAAAAGTGCAATTAAGGATTGATATTGTCTGATACAGTTGTGCAGTCAGCGCTGTCTGACTGCACAGAGCTCAGACAGGCCGCATGGCCAGCATCATCCGCCCCATTCCTGCTTTCTGATCACTGAAGCATTATTTTCATCCTGCCTTCCTGGGACAGCAGACAGACTAGAGTCCAATCTGGGGATGTTCCTACACCCCCATTTATACGTGAGTTCAAACAAGAACTTTCTTGGCTGTTGAAAAAATCTGTTGAGATACAGTAAGAAAGATGCCAAGAAAAGCTGTTGCTAAAATCTCTCCACCTGGGGCACAAAACTGAACTTTGAGACAGGTGTGGGAGAAACAACTTAAATGAAATCTCCAGCTTAACTGATGTTAAGGAGTCCATCAAGCTTCAGAGAGGCACTGGACCATCTGGATCCGTCTCCAAGCTGAACCTGATCATGTGATGATTAATCAATATGGATGGTCCTGCCAATTCCAGGTGGAGACAAAAAGCATCATTAACGTGTCACTCCTGGCTCTGAATTCTGATGTACAGCATGACTTTGTGGCAATTGCTGGAGCGTTTCTCCTGGGGCTCCTTTTAGATGGAATGTAATGTTAGGGACAACTTTCTGGGAACAGAAATACTGTGCATAGGATTTGGCTGCCAGGAATCCTGCTCTGGAGGCTACTGCTGTCCAGGAGGCAAAACTAAGTGCACTGTTCAGTGCCTGCCCAGAGGGCAGAGGCTGCCATGGAAAAAAAGAGCTTTATTGCTTGAGGTTTCATGTTCTTCTCTGGAGGCTGCACTGGTGTGAGCTGTGCCCCTAATGAACAACCTGCCCTGAAGACATCTTTTACCAGCATTTGAGATCTGTGCAATCATGTTATTAGAAATTCTGCCCTGAGGTACAATTATATTATTGCAGTCATTAAAGGCAGTTCATCTCCATAATAATGGAAATCCTGCCTTGGAGGCCTGACTGAGTCAAAATAACGTTGGTAGCTTGACTCCAGAAGGTAAATTCTATACAGAAACTGCTACAGAACAGATAGAGATATGTTGCAAATTCTGCTTTGAAAACAAAAGCTATTTCTACATAGAAGTGTGTTTTCTGTCCCTGGTGCTCTGTTATGTTCTCTTCACATACACAGCACTCTTTACACTCTGTGGGGAAGGCCCTCCGTCCTGCTTAATGCCACTCTTTACAGATGAGCCCCAAATCAGAGTGTTGATGGGGTAGGAGCAGGTGAGGCCACTGCTTGCCAACCTAACTTCCACCCTCCACACCAATGTGGGAGAGGAGATGGGACGGAAAAATACCGGGTTTGATGAGCTGGGATCCTGTTGCATAGGATCTCTTTGGTTTTCATGCTCCAGTGACATCAGTGTGACTGATGCTGGACTTGGGCCTCTGAGATGGAGACAGAGAGTGTTGCTGACACTCAAACCACGAAAAACCCTCCTGGAAGGAGGGGGGGGAGTTGAGGCTGCCAAAGCCAGACAATGTTTTTTACTTAATTAATTCTCAGAGGCATTTTGGTCTTCTTACAGTCTTACATCCTCATTTCCCCTGGTTTTGTGAAATGCCAATAGTCAATGTCAAGTGAGGTTTTGTATATAAAATATAGTCATCTACAGAATTGCATACGTAGCATATAGGAGTCAGACAGACATTATATTCAGAAATGTGGTCTTTTGCACTTACTGCATTGTGTGAAAGAAGAACGGATTCAAATCATGTCTGTACTTTAATCAGGAGCAAAAAAGTCACTCGTAGATGTCAGTGCAGTCACAGAGGTGGAGGGTAATTTTACCTGAGATTCACCAAGATAAAAGAGGTATCTAGAGTTACTCTCAAGTCTGGAAAACCTTCCATTAACTGATTAGCCCTGCATAACAGTGTGTGAGGGAAAGCCAGCCCTCAATGAGGGATCCAACCTTGTGATTCTATATTCTATGACTATATATTCTATATTCTATCTTTCCTTTGGACTCCTGAATGCCAGCTGCAGGTAAGGCATCTTCCCATGCATGGGATTTCTTGTTTGTGACAGTTACATCCTAGCAAGACATTCTGTCTGCCGTTCATTGGCAGAAGTGGGAGGGGAAGTCACAGCGCCCAGATTGTTCTTGCAGGATTTTCTTAATCCTCTCATAATAACTGAATTACATCTAATGCTGCAACGTTACATAAATTTATTACCAAGACTTGTGTTTTAAAACCTTTATTTTCAGGTGATCTTATCATAGAAAGCTCTCAATTTGTTCATAATTACAGCGCTGCTCCCACAGAGAGCTGTGCTAGTTGCAAGCACGAGCAGTTCATCCTCACACCATTGAAAAGCAGAAGTTGCTGCTGTCCCCACTTCATTCATTCATGTTTCCTGGGCACTGGGGAGGACAGGGCTGAGTGTGAGTAGGGAAAAGTCCTGGAACTGTTCAGAGTGCTGCAAGCTGGCATTAAGTTAAGCAGTTAATTCAGTTGGTATTCAAGCTTAATTTTGAAACATGTAAATCTCTTTCATACGATTTTCCATAGCTGCCGAAAGAGCGTTGCTACCCAGCAGACTTGCAGGTGCTGCCATGTTGATGCACGCTGTCCAAGGGATGAGCTGCAGAAGCACTGGGCTCTGGGATAGAGTGTTAAAGTGGACACTGGTGCTGTGATCTGCAGTGAAGGACGTGGGCTTTTTGCCTCTTGTCAGCACAGGTTGAAC